TTTAGTGACAGCTTAATCCTTTCCCCCATTGCTTCTTATATTCTTAATTCTGCTGCATGAAAGAAAAACAGCAACTGAAGGGATGGCAACTGGTTTGGAAGAATATTGGGGAAAAGGCATGTGAAACTACATGTTATATTTAGTTTAGGCCTTGGATACATACATTAAGCAATTACAGAATATTTCTTTGAAGAGCTGATTAACCAATAGCAAAACTCCAGCCAATTTAGATGAAAGGAAAGGACAACTTCACCATACTTTTATCATTGCAAATATATTTATGAATGTTTGCCATATTATTATTATATCTGTTATTGCTGAAGAAAAAGCCCTAACTCTACCCAGATAACCTATGCTCCATAGTCTTCATTGCTTAGAACCATTGCATTCTACATTTGGTAGAATGGTAAATGATATTAATATCTGAAAAGGATATGTGCTGACAAGTGATGAAGGATCATGGCTTCCCTCACACATGCATACTGTGTTTACAGATACTCATCCTCATGTTCTGCAGTGTGTTTAGAACAGTATGATAGCCATAAAGGCATTTTAGTTGATCAGGTGATTTCTCCAGGCATAATAGCTGCCATTTCCAAAGAAATGAGTTGAGCTGAGGCCTGATCTACATTTCTTTCCACCTCTTCTTTCTTCATCATTAGTGGTGGCAGTTGTGTAATCTAAAGACTAGATTACTAGTGGCATGGAAGAAGGAATTTAAGCAAATCCCAGCGTAATCTCAAATCCCAATGCAATTTCAAATACACCATTTGATAACAAAGTGATCAAGAAGATGAAAGTTGCACAGTTGAAGACATATCTGATAATCTAAACCCTTTCCTCTAAAGCTTTCAACAGGAGTATAGGAATGAAACTGCTTTGGTCACCTTGATGAATGACCTACACAGGGAGTTGGACTTCTCTTGGACTGGAAGAGTAAACTTGAAATCTGTTGGGCTGTTCTTTCTGTTTTTAGGAGCTCTGCGGTGTCCCTCTGCGACTAAACTCAATATGTAAACCCAAGTATTACAGAAGCACCACAAATCCCAGTGACAGCTAGCCTATAGGAAAATGTAACCAAAATAAGGATGGCATTAGAATTTCTTACCAACTTGATTCTCACTAATATTTATAACTAACTGTGTAAGTGTAAAGTGGGAAGTTGCTAGAAGAAAACACTTCTCTAGAAAACACATTAAGAAATAGAGAAGAGGAAAGGCTGGGGTACAGAGTATCAGGATTTAGCATAGCTGACTAGTTGCACATATATTTATTTCTTACTATTCTTTCCTCAATAAATGCACCTCTATAGTACAACTCACTATAAATGTTTTCTCCATAAAGAAATATGAAGGGAAACAACCTTGGTAGGTTTCACCAAATTTGCTCCAACTGCAAGTTTGAAACCATGAAATGAGAGGAGGGGTGATCTCAATTCCTTCATACTCAGATGATCTAGATCATATGTGTCAAACTCAAGGCCCGGCGTGTAATTATATCCGGCCCACGAGATCATTTTATATATTATTGTTATTAATGG